AGTGTCTGGGGCTTTTTTTCATATTTTTCCAGCCTGACAAATCTAAGAAGACAGTGCATGAATCAAGATCAACAGAGTCATGTCAAATTATCAAATCAGAGAGTACTTACTGTTTATCCCTTGAATGATTTTACTTAACAAATTCCAGCAACTGTGACAAATAAAATAGTAGAAATGCAGGCTGTGGAGAGCTGATATATTTGGAGAGATGAGCTCATTGAGAAAACTGTTCAGTGCTATATGTCAGTGTGAGACATCAGTTCTGTTTGGGCTTCTTTTATGTATTGAAAAAAAAAAGGAATAATTTTAGCCATACCTATTACATGAACTTTTATTCTGTTAAATGAGGGCATTACTTGTACAGCCTTAGTGAACAGTGAAAATAAGAATCTAAAAGGGAAGCATTGATTTTTCAGATGTCCATTAAGAAAAACTGGTTGGAAAGAAGCCAGCATGCCAAATACAAAATTGATTTAAAAATATAATTCTGTATTGCAAATAATTTTACGGTGAACTCTGGAATCCAATTATCTCACTGATCTGAGAGGATATAATACAAAGTTTATAACCTGAAAATAAATACAAATTGCACTAAATAAATTGTAGGTATGAAATAGATGGTCCAAGAGGATCTGTATTTTAATAAACTAGAAGTTAATTTGATTGCATTGAATTGAACTTCAGTTCTGTTTTTAATTTTAGCCAAATAATCTGTAGTGTAATGCAATTCCAAAAGTGAAGAAAGATATATTCCTGCTCTGAAACTTTTAAAATACAAACCTGTGATGACTTGGAAGTGCAAGTATTAATTGATGAAAATATATGAGAAAGATAAGAAATGGGTTTTAAATGTATAACTGTATTTATTTATGATGTTCTTTAACATCTTGGCATTTCACTGGTTTCATTTTTAAGGAAACACTTAAGAAAAATGAGTAGATAAGGGGAAGGGGTTATTTCTTGAGTTTACACCTTTTCAGGGTATATCCATTTTTTCCTTTTTCACCTGAATTCAATGTATAAAAAAAAAAAAAAAAAAAAAAAAAGTTCCAAGGCTTTTTTTCACTTGTGTTTACCTTGATCTGGATTGTTAGAAAGAAGTAGCCAAGTGGATGAAATCTGACTCAAATAAATACTCTGTTACCCTACATACAGACATTAAGCATTTCTCCTCTGCTTATGAGGAAACTGTCCTTTTTGATGGTAGCACTTTGCTATAAACTAACAGTACTGCCTTTTTTTATACTTTCCTATTTACTCCCCAACTCAAATGTGTGTTCCATATCCTAGTATTTCTACCACATTTTTTCAATTTTTTTTTAAATTGTTGTTGTTGTTGTTGTTATTATTATTATTATTATTATTATTATTATTATTATTATTATTGGTCTGTCGTTTTCTCAGATTTCGGCCTCTGCCCATATCATTATTTTTTTTTACCTGGCTCCCTTTAACAACTTCAAGCAATTCAGCTGGTTAGCACTTAGTTTTCAAAGAAATGATTTCTTTTTTCTAAACCATTGATAAAAACATACATCCTTTTGAAAATTGTTTCCATCTTTAGCCAGGCTTAAAATGGGGAATTGATCTGAGAGTTCTGGTTGCCTTCAGTCCCAGGGACTTGCGCTGACCTTGGCTTGGCTCATTGTTGCAGTCAGCAAGAGAAACTGTAACAGCAGACAGAAACTTGCTGCATTTGTAAAATGAGTGGTGGCATGTTATTGTTTTTTAATACAGTCTTCTAGGACAGTGAAGCTGTATGAAAATGTTTTTCTGGTTGTTTGGTCCATTTTAACTTTTCTCCAGCGTTTTTATTAAATGATCAGTAAGAGAATGTGCTGCTGACTCCTGACAACTCAGGGCATTTCAAGCATGACTCACTCTTCAGTATCAAGTTTTGATTATTGTCACAGCTACTTAGTTCATGACTGCCCTCGGTGTCTTTGTAAACATCCCTTTCCTGGCCTTGGGGTAGGATCAGACTTGCAGAACAGTCCCTGGGCTGCAATCCCCTGGTACTAACCAGAATTATCTCAGTAAATTTAACTTAACTTCCTGCCATGCAGCTCTATTTTATCCCGAAGCAGTGACAACAGCGCCTGTTCGTGATCAACAGAATTAATTAAAACAAACTCTGATTTATTTAAAATTTGAACTATTGAGTAATAGTACAAAACTTACTCATGTATTGACATGTCTTTTCCTGAGGCTTCCCATTCTCTGCATCTGGTTTTCTAAGGTAAAGGCAGTAAGAAAAAATAATTAAAACACTTGTTTCCCTGTAAGTTGTTACAATGTATGCAATTTGGTAAGAGTTGTTTCTCATAGGGCTTATATACAATATTGAAAATAAAATGTTGGTGTAGAGTATCCTTGGGATATTGAGCACAGCTCCACATGAATCACAGCTATTTTCTGTCTGGAATGCAAACCCTACAGTTTGCTGACTGGTCTAGAATCAAACCTAGTGAAAAGCACTGCTTAAGTTGTTCTCTGCCTATTTTTCAGAAATAAATTGTAAAAGAAAAAAAGATTTTTATTTTTTTTTTGAGGAAGAGGAGTCAAACTTTCTCCCTCTGGGGCCGAGATCTATGGGGACGTACATGTGAGGTTGCTATACATGTACCTGCCAGAATATCTCGTCTTGTTTTGATCTCACGCAATTCAAAGTGCTATGAGGGAAGCAACAATATAAACCAAACTAGACAAACTATCTCCTATTTCTTCACTGTACTGCTTGACAGGTATAGCATACAGTCTTGCATTGCATGACCTTTGATTAAGCATGCAGTCATTTATCCCTTAGAGAGTCTGATTCTGACACACAGCTCCCATTGCCTTCCTGAAACCTGACATTTGCCTTCAAGGCATTCAGTGCAAAGTTCTGAACCAAGTGAATGAGTTTCAAGCTTTCCAGAGAGAACTTTTTTATAACCTTGGCTGCCTGTTTTCTTAATAAAAATGAAAGTATGCATTTGCTCATCAGGCAAATTCATCATGTTTACACAGCTTTCCTTTTGAATTGAGTTTGCATTTCCTTGGGGGCGGGGGGAAGGATGTGTTAACTGTAAGAAAAAGATCTGTAATCTCAGCACTTCTCTAACTCCTGATTAACCTCAAAAACATTCACTCAGGCTTTTTAAAAAAATACAAAACCTAAGATTGAGATTCTTTTTCTTTTGTTAGAAGAGAATTTATCATTTTAAACCAGTGAATGTCATCAGATATCTCTTTTCATTTCCTTGACAAAGAGCTAACTCTGAATTGTGCTAAATGGAGTAAGAATGTACTTGCAACTATTGCAAGGACCTTCTTGCCTTTTGGTAGGAAAAACAAATCTGGGCAATCTTCAAGGAGGAGGAGTACCTTCTGCTAATTCCAGATATGGACACTGAGGCCATATGAATAAAGCAGATACCTGTCTGCTGAGGAAATCCGTGTTATTTTGAAGGTCAACATGTGAGCAGCAAATAACAATGAGCAATAAAATAAACTGGCAAGAAATTTAAGCCAACAAAAATGTCAGCACACTGATCACTAAAGAGGCTGAACTTGGTTTGAGTTTGAAGATGGTAGCGCCCTGGTTTATTGTTGGTGATTAAGCAGAACCTTAATTAAAGTATCTGAGGCATAATGCTTAACTGTCAAGGTAAACTATGACTACAATTGTTTTTCTCCAATGTTAATGAGTTTAGAAATTCAGGAGTAACTGTTGAAAAAATAGTAAATACAAATGTTTAATAATGAGAACAAGTATGATGTCATTTCAATTACTGCTCTAAATATCATGCCTTTTAAAATGAAGTGAATGTCAAGTGATCAGCATGTCCTTTATTGAATGAAATTATTCTGGTGAGCACTGCAGAAAATCAGCTTTTCAGTAAACCTGTTAATCCATTTGAAATTTACTTCCTTGGTGATAAAGATGAGGTATGAATGCTGATGCAAGCAATGTCTCTGTTAGCAGTTCTAAGCCTGTAGCTGGCATTTGTGAAAAATAATCATTGATTTAATTTTTACTTCCAAATTGGGGACTTCTGTTTTAATATGGAAAGCCAAAGCAATGCTGTTGTACAGTTCTTCATATTTTCATACTTTTGCTACTGAATTAATCATTATAACAATTACCTGTAAGAAGTAAATGTTGTTATCCTCTTTAGAAACTTATGTAAGTCATAAGATATATAGAATGATTTGCTGAAGGCGATACAGTGAGTCAGTTTTCTATCCAATATTACAGATGAAGACCATTGCTCTGAGCAACTGCAGCACAGTGCTTACACCAGTAGATGAATACATGCTGAATTGTATTCTATTTTTAGTGGAGTATGCTCTTCCTTCATTTTGTCTCCTTGCTGCTATCTTTCATATTCTATGTCGTTACAAAAGTAATGTATTCATGAATGCCCTTAAAAGCTTGTTTTGTTCTAATTACACTTAATATGTTTCCTGTTTCAATCTGAAAAAAAAGTCATTGTAGAGTACCTATTGTTTACTAATATCTTTCTTGAGAAGTCTTTCGAAGGTTTTTTTGTTGTGAAATGATTCATCAGCCAAGAAAATAATTATTAACAAAATGTGCATTGCATTGTCAAAGAGAAAACAGTGCTGCTTCTAGAAAGCGCATTCAATATGCTACAAAATTAATGACATAATAATTTGGTCACTGTGTAAGGGAGTGTTTAAGAATACAACTCTGGTATAGGTTTTCATGCTGTTATATAGTCTTTCCATAGCATTTTCAGGAAAGTTCTTGAAGTAGTGATAAAAATAAATGCAATGTGTGCTCCTGTGCAATAAATGCAATGTGAACTGAAACAACTTTCAGTTACTTGAAATTATTAATTACTGAATTTATCTGATTCATGATTTTAACAGTATGAAGTGTTCAGTGTAGGGACTAACCATTGTTTCTGACTTTTTTACATGATGGGATTCTGTACACCATCATGTTCACACTTTTGAGTATCCCTCTTCTTCATTTTCTATTATTCTTTTAGATGGATGAATCGTCTGGGTCTTGCAGCAATTGGTTACACACCTGAGGACAAGGATATTCATCCTGATGAAGGTAATGTTTCAGAGACAAGTAGAAGAGCAGAGAGTACACCTGTCCATTGTCTGAATGAAGTTGGAGATGTCATAACTGACTTCTTTAGTAATGTGTTATGTCTTATCATAAGAACATATAGCCCTGAAGAATTAGATTTATTAGTGCCACCAAAAAATAAAATCCAAATAATAATTTAAGAAATATTTTAGAAAAATGATAAACACGATGCGAAGTCCAGGCTGCGTTATGATCCCCAAGAAGCAGAGCCATCACCTATGCTCACCACCCTAGAGCAAGTGAAGACATCACAGTTACAGGGTCAAAATGTGCTTTAGATCCATTCTTCATCTTCTGAGCCTTGCCTTTTTTGTCATGATCTATTAGGTGAACACAGATCAAGTAAATGTTTAGGCTCACTTCTACTTTGGCTCCTAGAAGGAAGTTTCCTTTTCAAACTCTGACCAGAAGCTATTGCACAGTGGTTAGGTGCTTAATGTGCTTTCTGTAACACTATCCTAAATCGTTTGAAGGTGGTTCTTTGTACCTGTGTCTGAAATACCATCCATTTTTGCAAGATCTGCTCCTCAGTGGCTGCCAAATGACCTAGGTGACTGTGAAATTTTTGCCCTTGCAAGCTAATGATATTTTGAAACTGTCAGAAACAGTTCTTGTGGAAAAATACATCACTGAAACCCAGAATGCTTTGTTAGCAGATTACTGGAGTGAAAGCGACCAGGATGATGTTGATGGCTCTTTAACCCTGAAGCAGGAAGGCTCCTCAACACTGTGTGACTCTTATCACCGAACACCTTCAGTGAGTTATAAATACTGACATTAGGTCACCACAAAAGATGTGCTTTGATTTGCATTTTGCTTTGTTTAGAATGTTAATTATTATCAAGGTGGAAAAAAAATAGATCTCATTGTAAGAATGAAATCAGTGCTGTTCTCATGAGCTATGAACTGAATGTTTCCATAACAAGTCAACTACAAAGTAAGGAGAGGGAAATGTCTTCTTACATAGATGTGCCACCAGCCTGTGTATGCTACATTTTTTGTATGATTTGGTCATAATACCAACAAAAGATTCAAATGCTGACTTCACTGCAGAATGTGAATATAATGCAATGAATGGGACAGTTTGCATTAGCTGAGACTGTTTTTCAAATATGAATATTGGACACTGGATATTATTGGATGTTTGAGATTGAGACTGGATCACATTCATTTCATAATTATGTTTTAGTATGAGCATTCCTTTTTAAAAATGAATTTTTAGAGGTAAGGCTTTTTTTTGTTGTTGCTTTTGGTCTGTTTTTCACCAGATGAAGCATTGCATACAACGTGATAGCAGTAACAGTATTTTCTGGCAGCGTCATAAGACATTAAGTAGCAGAGAAAAATACTTCTAGTATGTTGTGCAGGGAGAGGTTTTGATAAATTAGAGAAAAAAAATGTTTTGTTTACAAACAGGTTCTAGTAGCAAATAGGAACATTTCTAACATATAGACCATGCTGTGATATTTAATCTGTTTCTAAGCAGATAGGATTGTTCTCTATTTTTCTTTCAGATTTTTCTTCAGCGTGAATGACACGATCCTCACACTGCCAGATCCAAAGAAAGAGTGACTGAGGCAACAGCATCACATGGGTGAAGTTCAGACTGATATTCACCCATGTGATGCTGTTTTATCAACTGAGAAACAGGTTAAGCCTCTCCCTTTCTGTTTTTTCACTTTTTTGCCTTTCTCTTTGTTTTTGAATTAAAATGATACACAGAACCAGCAGAATTAAAATGATTTGATACATTTAGCAGTCCCCCCAAATTCAAAAATTTTTGTTTTGTTTTTGTTTTTTCTTGTTTGGCTGGATATTTATCCTCTAAAAATAAGAAAGAAAATCCAATTACTGTTTCTTTTGGAGGCATTTATGTCTTCACAGCACACTGCTGGACTGAGCATAAACTGGACAGGTCTCCAGAAAACCTTTGTTTTCAAGTCGTTCTTTCCAGCAGTTGTTGCTAATGGGCAGAGAATGTGCAAAACAAGAATAGGGAGTGGTTAAAACATAGCACTTGCATAAAAGAATTCACTGCTAGGTATGTTCGGTTCACAAAGGTTCATATTATGACATATCAAAACACATGTATAAGCCCATTTTATTTGTACATATCATGTTCTTGTAATTTTCTTGGGTATATTTAAAACCTTGTCTTAAAGTCAGATCTTTTTGTTTCTCTTCAGGTGACATCGTCAAGTCCATTCCCTGAAGCCAAACATGGACGACACTTTTCAAGTGAATCAACATATTCCCATTCCTCTGCTGAAGATTCTCGACAAGAGGTAGCAGGAAGCACACATTCATCAGGATGCAGACCTCCCTACCGAGAAAGACGCTCATGGCAGGATCTGATAGAGACTCCATTAACCAGTTCAGGGCTCCATTTTCTCCAAACTGTTCCTCCTGATCCAGAATACGTGAGTGGTCAGCCTGGAATGTCACCAGAAAGACGAAGACAAGCAACATTGCCAGTACAGAAGCGTCATAACTATGAACAGGATGGGCCTTTCCCTTTAGTGGAATGTCAGAGAGGACACAGCTCTCATAGCAGGCCACAGAAGCAACGTAGTCAAAGCCTTCCACGAAATAGAGATGTCAGGGGTAAGGGGCGTGTGAAGTCCATAGAAGGAACAGAGGACAACTTGGAAGAGAAAATTCCTATTAGAAGGCATAATAGTTTTTGTGCAGAAGGTAAGCTTTTGGAGATACTCTGATCCACCTTACTGCTTTGAAAGAACAATAATTCCATTATTCTCAGCCAAGTTCTTGTCCGTCAAGGTTTGATTCTGACAAATTCATCAATGAATATGGAGGACTTTGCATTTGAAATGCTTGAATAGTAGTGTTTAATGATATAGCTTTGTGGCTTTTCAAAATGAAAATGGGAAGACTGTGTCATAGGTTATTTTACACACTAATTTGCAGTATTTTTTTTTAATCAACTTCGGCTGAATTGGCTGTGCCTGTTCTTAGTTTTCTTTATTTTCTTTCAGAAGGCATAAAAGAAACTGGAGAAAAGTTAGATGGTCTACAAGAGCTTTATAAGTCTCTGGAACAAGCCAGTTTGTCAGCTTTTGGAGAACAGCGCCCTTCCACCAAGCAGGAGTTCCGCAAGTCTTTTGTAAAGCGATGTAACGATCCAGTTATCAATGAAAAGCTTCACCACATCAGAGTACTCAAGAGCACTTTAAAAGTAAGGTTTTATCATTAATTTTGTGTATGAGAAATCTGAACTTACAAAAGTTAAACTCTCAGTGTTTTTCCATAGATACAAAGTGTTTCTTTATCACTTTAGAATTAAGTTTCAAAGAAACTAATAGTACTTAAAAGCAATTGTGTTCTAGTCTCAAATCAAAATGAGGCCAAAACCAACCAACCAAACATTACTTGGCACTCTTTATAGGCATGTTGTAAAAAGTGCCAGGACATGAGCTGTCAACCAGTTTAAGCTGTAGTAGTTCCTGAATATAGACAAAAAATTCAAGTGTCCACAGTAGTCTCTCTAGTACCTTACATTAAAATGAAAGAAGAAATAAAATTCCAAAATACAAAGTGTGGGATACATTTCATTTTGACATGTACTGTGTCTTTCTGGAATTTGATAGGCAAAGGAAGGGGACCTCACAGTTATCAACAGCCTTCTGGATGATCCCAACTTAACATCAAAGAAGTTTAAAGATTGGAAACTAAAGAACTATGAGTTTTTCCTGGACATTTGTGAGTACAGTGCAGCTCTGAAATCTCAAAATGGAGCCTCTGAACTTGCAACCTCAGCACCAATGCTGACACATACACATTCATTCATCGAAACTCACGTCTGACAGGACTCGTATCATGAATAATTGCTGGGTGCCATGAAAAATCAGTAAGACAAACACTGTAATATTTATAAATAACGTGCTCAGCAGTACTGTAAATAAGTTGGATAAGAGAATAGTGCCACAGGATGCCTACTACATTGCATGATAAGACAATAATATTCTTTATTATTTTTTTTTGTTTGCTATTATCAACCAATGTCCGTATAAAGCTCTGCATTAGAAAGAAGCCGTGCAGAAGTGTAACTGAAAACAAACACCAGTATATTTAAAGTACTGTACTAAAATCAAGCTTCTAGTATGAGCTCCTGCAATTTTATATATTTAGATATATTTAAATATATCTATGTATATAAAACGTAACACAATAGTTGGTATTTACTTTTTAAATGCTCTACAGTTCACATTTTCATGTTTTTCTTGAGAAAAATATAAAATGAAAACATAAAGACATTGGACACTCTTAGAGATGAACAATTATTTTTGCTACATTTCCAAGTAGTGACCATCTTTGCAAATAAAAGGACAGATTTATCAAAATGTAAACTCAATCCCTATAGTGTGCCTTAAAATGTACACTGTACATCTAGCAAATAGATCCCAATCTGGCCCTATGGGCATACAGTATATGCCATTTAGATACTGTGTTTGTAAAATACTGTGCCTGCCTTTAAAATGAATGAATATAAGTGTGTAGGTGTGGCACAGAAGTTAAGATAATGAGTAGAACAATATTGGTTGTTCACTAATGCTGCAACTTACGCTGCTTTTAACATAATTTGAAATATTTCATGGTGAAAGAAAAACATCTGCACTGAATATGGCACATTCTGCAGGTTTTCATAGTTTCTTCACTGTGAATTTAAGTGACGCATGCCTGTGAGTCACACAATTCAAAAAAGCTCTGATGCTTCAAAGATAAGTATTAAGTAAAAGAAATCAAAAACTGAACCAATCAATTAGATTCTGCAATAGACTGGCAGCTGAAGCAGAGTAAATTATTCAAAATTATAATAATGTCTGGCAATAATTTTTAACTGTTAGTAGTACATCAGCAAGCGGGTGAAGTTATTCATTACATCACTTGAAAAAAACCAGTCTGTATTGATTGGTTTTGTAAAGACACACAGGTCACATCATGTATTTCACTTCCTTGCTTGGATCAGAATGAATCAGAGTTTGGAGAAAATTCTTGAAAAAAAAGATTGCTCTGAATGTTACTGAACATAAGTTTCCAACACAGATTCACAGTTTTCTTTGACTACGCTTGCTAGAATATTTCTAGAAAGCAGGACAAAGGAGATGTGAATTCAGTTGATGTCATTTTACTTAAACACAGATATTCACTGATAATTTTCCATGATATAAACCTGTCTCTCATATACCAAGAACTATAAAATTCATACAATTCAATATAACATAGGAAAAAAATGTTATCTCAAAGAGTTTCTAGTGTCCAGAAGGAGATTTAAGTATTCACAAATACTTAAAAATTTGTGGAATGGGTAGAAGTATTCTGTTTGTTTAGGACAGTGCCCATCAAGCAGCTGTGGCAAGTTAACAGGACACAGGGAGAAAAGCTCATGGGTAAGAATAAAGACAAAAAGATCACTCAGCAATTATAGACTCAGCTTGTGGAAAACTACTTAAATTAATAGTTCATTAAAAATAGAGCAAGATAATGAGCAGCAAAGACAAAATTAAAACCATCTACCCCCACACTGTCCCCCTTCTACACAGGCTCAATTCCTTTCCTGGCTCTTCTGTCTCCTCCCACTCTGCTCATCATGAGGATGGGGAATGGAAGGCTGTGGTCAGTCTGTGACATTCCATCCCTGCCACTCTTTCTGCCTCACCCTACATTCCTCTACTCCAGCATGGTGCCACTCCCAAAGATACAGTCCTTGATAGTTTCCAGTATGGGTCCTTCCCACGGGCTGCAGTTCTTCCAGAACTACTCCAGGATGAGTCCATTCTGTGAGATGCAGTCCTTCAGGAGCTCACTTCTCCTGCTTGTGTCCTCCAGGCTCCTTTGTGGGCTCCCCACAGGCTGCATCCTCCATCAAAGCACATCCATCCACTGCTCCCAGTGCTCCTCCACAGGGTGCAGAGGATCTTTGCTCTGAGAACATCCCCCTGCTCTTCCTCCTCTGATCTTGTTATCTGCAGTATTCGCACTCTCTTACAAATGGTGCACAGCATTTTTTGTCCTGTCTTAAATATGTCATCAGCTTTGCTGATGGTTGAGCTTTGGCCAGTATGGGGCTTTTCTGGAGGTGGGCAGAAAGGCTCTGTCCTACATGAGGACAGCCCCTTGCTCTGTTCTCACACAGCCACTCCTGCAGCCTTTCTGCTACCAAAACCTTGCCTTGTCAACTCAATATAGCCCTGAAGAAACACAACTCAGATTTGATTTTTATTATCATTTTCTTTGGCATTTATTTGAACCACAGTGGGTACAGTTTAAACAATCTAGAATAGTATGAGATGTTATTAGTGGGGATCTGTTACTTGACAGCTGTTTTGAGTTCTTATCACAGAAGCAGCCGAGTCACAGCATCACTGCAGCAAATACATTTAGATAGAACATGCAACATAAAGGCATATTTGACGTGCTTTAGTAAATTAACTATAGACTTGACAGTCGCAGAAGACAATGGTTCCTTATATGCATGCATCAGAGTGGAACAGAATCACGTTATACATATCATACTGAATATTAAGCATACACTGAAGGCTCTAATACCTAAAGTCATAAAAAAAACATACTGGAAATAGAGAACAATAATTTGTCATAAAAAATTGGAGTTGCAGTATTCATGCAAAATGAAAAACTGTTTAAGCACATTTGTTTGTATGTGAATGCTATAGTTACTGAATAACTGAATAGCAAAAGCATTAACAGAGGGAATTTATTTAACTTTTTTCATAGCAGATCTCCGAAGGATATTTCACTATTTTTAATACCATCCTTCATCTAACATGAAATAAAAAATAAGCACTGATGCAAGGAAATGCACAAATTAAACAAACCGTTTCTAAACCAATTCATACTTTAGGTGTAAGCAGTGATAGATGGTCACCAAACTAAGTAGATCAATCTTTCTATATTCAAAAACAAATGTAAAGCTTGTAAGATTCAAGAAGTATTGCTTGTACTTTATAGCAAGCAAAATCTAATTTTAAATTAAGCAACACAAACATTTTGTTCTTTCACAAAGGCTAACTGACAAGAATTTTTACATACTTCTTGCATGCATACTCAACTCTTCCTTCCCCACCACTAGTTTTTTCTTTCTGCATGCAAGTACTAATCCAGCTGAACTACAGAAATCAATGCACAAAGTCATCACAGAGTAATTATTTGGAATTTCATGATCTTCAAAATGACTTGAATGAAAGAGCAATAAAGTTATTGTATCTAAAATCCATGTACCAAATCCAAATAAGTCAGTTTCTCCTGGACTCTAACTCTGTACAATGCAGTTGAAATTATTAAGGTAGCATAAAGTTTTTAAATTAGGAAAAAAAAAGTTTGCTGTTGAGTTCTTCAAGGGAAATAAGCAGCATCAGTAGATTCCACTTATTAGCGTAACAGATTTTCTGCCTGCCTGCTTAAACAAAAACTAATTCTTACCATATATAACTACACAAAGAGATGTTTTGGCTGTGTATTATTTATTCAGATTGAAGTTAGCCAACTTAGTGTCTTCAGTCAGAATTCCTGCAGACATTTTTTTTTAAGCTGCAGGAAAAATGTCCCTCAATCCTCCCTCTCTGTGACTTCACAAGCTTAGTCTTTTTGTTTTTAACATACATTTCTATATAGCTGATTTAATGCTTGCAATAAATCGCTGATTCCCCTTCTTTTTAATGTACTGTTCTGTATCCACTGAATTCTTTGTTGAAAACTATCTTAGAAGCCATCTCAGTATCGTTTCCTGGGAATACTGGGGCTTTTTTCTTGCTTTCACAGATGTTAGGCAACAACTTTACTGAATTTAGTCTTGTTAATATTAACAAGAAGTAATCAAAAGAAGAGGAGGTTCTTATCAGTCTGTTCTCCAAATTCTTTGACAGAAATAAAATTGTGAAAATACTGACTCCATACTCGAAGGCAGGACCAGTAGGATTCTGTTTGTTCTCACCGAAATCAACCTGTGTTGTACTGTGCAGGGAATCTGTATCCTCCACAAAAAAGCCAGTTGCTTTACTTCACTGGCAAAACCCACCTTACTGCATCTTCTGCTTTCTCAAACACATCACGAGCACTTCTTGCTCTGCATTACATTTTACTGCCATAAGGAGAGACTGATCGATTGCTACTAAAAGAAATTGGAGGATGTGATTTGATGCCTTTTCCAAGCAGGGAATTCTGAATGTGATCAGTCTGTTTATGCTCAGATCCAGACTGCTATCTTTTCAGCTGGTATTGTGCTGCATTACTTGCTTTTTCCAAAGGAAAAAAAAATGTGTTACAGAGAATTGCTAGATGTATGTCTTGCTAAATTCTTACTGTCATCGGCAATTATAGCTTTCCAGACCAAAATAATTATTCAGTTCAAAGTTTAGTGAAGGATTGCAAAGGTACCTTTGAAGGGGCTACTTAATGACGCACTGAGAATTGCTCAGAAAAATCTGTTTATAGTACACACAAGTTCCTGTAGCATATTGTTAAAATAATGTAGCATTTTGATTTCACAATGGATTGTTTATTTCTGCTTAATTTTTCAAATAGAGAAATCAAACAGAAGGGCATAAGTTGTTCCAAAAGTAATGCCTACTATTTATTTCCATGAAAAAGACAACAAAGAGCACAATAAGACTATTTGATAGAGCAAATGCTCAGCTACAAAACACTGTTTTTCAACACCATTAGCCGATTCGTGCAGATGAACTGGTGAGGATGCTCTTCATCTTGTGGTATGACAGCTGTGCATGGCCATCCAGAACAGGGCTTGTTTTTCATATTGCTGTCACTGCTGCTGAAATGCACCACCCACTGCCTCACTGTGCTCACATGCACTCCTTGGTCTCCAGAACATTCAGCAAGTGTCAATGAACATCAATGGGTGTAATTCTTTCTGCATGGAGGAATTCAATTCCACACCTTTGCTTCATAGTCAATTCCTTACCAGACTTCTTTTTTTCAAACTGCCCCTGACTGCTGCCATCTGTCACACAGCACAAAATATAACAGACTATTGGTGGGAAGGTACAATTTCTGCCATCCCACCAACATCTGCCTCTGACATTGTGGGCCAGCATAATAAAATGGGAGGCATTACTTTTGGAGCAGCCCTTGTAGTAATGCCTTTTTTGTAGGGTAAATTCATAGAAGACTGTACATCCACAGGCCTTAGACCACTGAGCTTAAGATCTTCTTAGAGATGATGAGCACTCTTCCCTGTTGCCAGATGATGATTATTAATAATTATTTACAAAAATCTTCAATAATGTGACAGACTCAAGAAGAAATATTATCTAATTAATTTATATTAAGTAACAACAAGTTCCTTTTTTCCTTCTAGAATGTTTCCCTCATTAAAGCTAAGACTCAAATCAACTTTTTCAGGCAGGCTACTCTTGGGACAGGTTCCCCCATCTCTCACTTACAGCGAGTGGCTGTTATCAGTGTGCATTTGAAAATCAAACCTGAGACATATTAGCAGCTAATGAATGGAAAGTACACCGTTGTTTCAAACAAAAACAAGTAAGTTGTATTTTCTTAGTTGAGTTTAAATATTTATTTACTCCTATTATGTATACACATAGTATTTTATTTCTGAACAGTTCCATTCACTATGTGTAGGCAGGTGACTACTCTTGGTATTGTTCTTGATATCCTACTTGAAAAACCATTTGTTTAAGATTAATTTCTATGCTTTACAGCTTATGCCATACTTGCATACTTAGACTGAGGTCTATAAAGAATATATAAAGGTCTATAAAGAATATATAAAGAGGTTTAAGCTTTTTGCAGTTTCAGTTTTGGGGGCTGTTTCTTTTCTTTTGTTTGTTTGTTTGTTCAGTTTGTTTGTTTTGAGATAGCTGATATTCTACTGGGACCTAGTGTTAATAAAAGTATAAACAATTTTCAGGAAGATACTGCCCATCATTATCTTTAAGAACCATATTCATTATTATCAGACAAATACTATGTGTTCATTTTTATCACATGCATACAAGGGTTAATGTGACAATTAGAGATTTTGCTGTATGCATTAATGCCACTGTATGAGCAGAATTTGAAAGAAAGCAATGTTGAAGAAATTAAAAAATATGTCAACAAATTGCTGTTTGACCAGAAAGGTCAAACTTCTGTCCTCACATTTCTAGAATATTATTCATTCTCAGGCATTAGTGAGGGTATCAATACAGATCTTTTTACTAACTGTAAATGTATCTGTCTGAATGCTGCAGTTTAAATAAGAATGCCACATTACACATATTAACTCTATTGCTTTTTTTCACTGGCAACCACGAAGGAAATGTCTTAAGAAAACTTGTTCACTGGCCAAAATAACAGCAAAGGCCTCATTACCAGTTAAGACTTTTGTTTTATTGAGAAACAAGGTTTTCAACTTAAAAATCTGAAATGGAAACAGGTTAGAATATAGGAGAAATGCACTAGTATTAATAAACTTTTTACATTTGACACATACTGTATTACAAAGACAATATCCTTGCAAGAGCATTAATTGCTGGGCCATAGGTGACTTCTGTCTAGTTTACTAAAGTAGCTAATAAAACTTGTATAGAGAGCCTTTTATAGATAATGCTTACGTGTATGAAAATGTATGACACCCTTGTACTATGGCTTGCACTTTACTTGCATTAAACTGTGAAGTAGGCTGTAGTAATGTCTTTGTATATTCAGGGGTTGAAATACCAAAGCACTAGAGTATTGTACTGCTGGTGTTCAACCTGTACTGTTAATTAAGTCTGAACGTGCTGATAACATGTACTTTGAAAACCCCACTAACTTAAAATCTTTAGCAAATAATGCTATGGGGTCTCCATGGTCTTTGTTTCTTTGTAAATATAAACATTCTTACTGTTTCTGTAGCAATAGGAGGTTATAAACCAAACTTTCAATAGGACTGTTTTCAATAACAAAAAAAATCTATAGCGCCTTGTATAAAACTCATGGAGACTCCATGACCTGTGGGCATTTTTTGTTTACAAGCAGTATGTATATAAGTATTAGCGGCAGAACTGTTATTTATCACAAAGTTATGTTGTGGTTGATTCTTTCTAAAGTAAATATGTGTTTTATGTCATGAAAAATAAGTATTTTTAGTAAGAGCCATCTTGAAAAGTTTGAAGCGTCAAAGCTTCAAATACTCAGAATCTTCCATGTTTCAGCCTTGTTTTTCCAAACGACTGTGAGATGAACTGAGAGGTCACAGTAAACCATCTGTCCATGCCAGGGAAGGTGTCTGAGTTGTATCACAGTTTATGACATTCTGCAACTTTTCTCTAATTACCATCTTGCTTACGCGCTTTTATGAGCAGATGCTGTATGATACCATACTAAAGTCTTTCAGCTCAATGAAGAGAGAGAAAAATAACTGCTCTAACTGGACGCATACAGGTTAGGCTAGGTTTCAACCCCTGGATAATACAGTATTCTTTGGTTTCACGACAGTATTTTTAATTTTATACTTGTCTATGTTGAGAGATGATCCAATAGTTTATAGAGGCAGTGAACGTTAGGTTTCTTTTTTTCCTCTTCTCAGATGACTTCTGTGTGAACTACTGTAACTGGCTGCGTTTTTCTATCACAGATTAACTTGTTAACTTTTTGTGTGTCTACAATGAAAATTTATGAATGGAAAACTTCACTGTGTGTTGCTCACTGGGCATATACCTCATGGTACATTGCACAGACGTGTAAGTTGTAAGTTGCACTGCAACATTAAAAAAGGAACATATTGCTCTTTTTTCAAAGATATTAACTTATTTAAGAGATATAGCGTGTACATTATTAAAAAGAACATTTATTCTTCCTAAATTCAAACAAAGCTTTTGTTTTGGGGGGGGAGGGAAAAAAAAAAAAAGTTGTAAACTTCAGTTGTAAATTTGGACTTCAATAAACGGAATTATCTGCACTTAAATTCTGTGCTGACGTTGTTTTAGTGCGCGTTCTCTTAGAACTGCAATTACGAAGAGTAATCCAAGCCCAGGCTGTGAGCGGGGCCGGACCAGAGCTGCGGGCCGCTCCCGGCGCGGGGCCCGCGGTGCCAGGCTCAGCCGCAGGCGGCAACGAAGAGCGCCGCGCCTACCCGAAGAACGGACGGCGCTCCGGCCCCATCCCCACCGCCTCAGCCGCCGTGGAGCCCCGCCCCGCGCGGGAGGAGCCCGCGGCCGAGCGCTCGGCCCTTCCCGCTCGCCGTACGCGGCTGCGGGGCTGTCGCTAAGATGGCGGCCAAGGTGAGTGCCGCCGGGCACGGGGGAGGGCGGCGCTGCGGCGGCTCCGCAGGTGCGGACGCCCCGCTCCGACGGAGGGCCCGAGGGAAGCCTGCGGCGCCTCCCGCCGTCCCTCCGTCCCTCAGGGCTCCGCGGAGCGGCGCTTCCCGCCGGCTCTGTGCGGCCTTCCCCGCTCGGCTCCCGTCACAGCCCCGCGGAGCGGCGGGAGCCCGCGCTGCCGACACGCACCGGAGACACCGGGCCGGGAGAAGCCGGGGGCGGCCCGCGGGGCTGTGAGGGCGCGAGGCCGCCGTGCTGAGCGTCCCGCGGCCGTCCCTCGGCGGGCTGTCCGGTGCCGAGCCCGTGTGGGCTGCGCGGCCGCGCTGCCCGGTATGGGTGGGAGCTGAGGGCTGCGCTCCGCGCGCCTCGGCCGCTGCCTGGCGCTGAGGGGAGGGGCGGGAAGCGGAGCGCCGCGCGGCTCTGCTGCGGGACTCGTGCCAAAAGGAGCTGCTTTCACAGCGCTGAAATTCTGCATCCGCAAGGGAAAGTGGTTTGTTTCTGGTTGTTCTCCACCTACCAGCAGCTGTCCGAAACACCTTCTGCTCCTTACACGAGTTACGGGATGTCATCACGGTACTTGCTAGGTAGGAGGGTGGCGAAGTGTAGTGCAGTATTAAACACGGGTGTTAAAGGCATGCAGTAACAAACGGGCTCACGAGTACCTGAAATAATGACGAACAACAGTGTGTTTAAGCAGGGCAAGATGTGCCTGCAGAGCTGTGTGCTTTCTCTCGTGTGTGCAGTCAGGTTTCCCACTCTTGGCAGTCACATTGATAAGTAGGTTGCTTACGTGTGAATCCTCTTATTTACTTTTGCAGAGCAGCATCGGGGCTGCTGCTTTGGGTTGTGCTGAGAAAGGAAATGATGGGGCTTCGTGGCATAACCAGGTGGAGCTCAGGGCGTAGATCTGAATGGCTCAGTGTGCTGTACTGCAACACTGCACCTGTTACTCGTTTAATAACAGCTCTCCACTGAAAGCGTGACACGCAGCAGCTGCTAAAATTTTAGCCTCATTTTAATCTGCCAAGTGGATTCTGGTTTTATGGCAGGGAAGGCATGCACAACACACACATGCCTCAGGTCTTTGCATACAGCCTGCTTCTTTGATGTCATCTTTATGTTCTGAAGTCTGCCTGCTTTGAAGCAGAACTGTGAATCTGTGGAGTTCCAGCGAGAAACAAAACTTACGTCTTGGAGAATAAATAGAAAATATGGTTTTATTAGGCACCAAAGTGCTTTTTATGCCTGTGAACAAAAACAGCCTATCAGTAATTATTGTGTCAGTAGCATGGTAGTGGTATTAGAGGACATATTTTGACTACTGCTGTTGAAGTTTCTCTTTTCTTCTGTGTCCCCCTCCTATCCTGGGGTGTGTAACTTGTATCTGTAATTCCAGCAGTGTTTAGATCTATATTCATGTGGAATTCGTTTCTGGGCTTGTGGCTCTTCTGTCTGCTGGTACTTAGATGTGTTGCCATTAGGGACTAAATGATTTTCTTTTGTTGTTTTCTTATGGCTTAGATCAGAGCTTTAACTCAGATAAAAGCAGAACCGTTATTAAAATGCAGATCAGATGTTGAACTAAAATCTTTAATTTTTATTTTAAGGGTCAATTAAACTATTTCCTGAATTCATTAGCAAGAAGATTGTTTAGGTTTGAATTGATTATTGATATTCTGGATTTGTTTTACTGATTAACCATGATTCCCACATATTTTACAGCCTGGGCTTTCTTGCAGAACTTTTTTTTTCTCCTCACCTTTGTTATGACAACATTCTGTCATTGCTCGGTGCTGTGCAACTTCTAGAAGATTTCATAAGTAAATTATCCTTTGACTTAGGTAAACTGTGTGTTATTTTCCTTGTTTAATGTTCACTGTTCTTTGACAATATGTTTAATAAAATAATTTTAAGAAATTAATAATAAATTAATTAGGCAGCGTTCATTAGGCAAAGAACAGGATAGGCAAGAAGAGGACAGACCCTTCAGCAGGATTTGTTGTGAGAGGGCAAGGGGAAATGGCCTCAAACTAAAAGAGAGGAGAGTTAGACTGGATGTAAGGAAGTTTTTTACTCTAAGGGTGGTGAGGAACTGGTTGCCCAGAGTGGTGGTGGTGCCTCATCCCTGCAGATCAGAAGGTCAAGCTGGATGGGGTTCTGAGCACCTGATGGAGCTGTAGGTGTCCCTGCTCACTGCAGGGGGGTTGGAGTGATGGTATTTAAGGATCCCTTCCAACTTAAGTAATTCTCTGATTCAGTAACAGCTTGGTATAGTGAAGCCTATTGAATGTAGCTGAGGTGGTGCTGCTTTCTTCCTCCTAGGTTCTTTGTGATCTCAGTGGAAAGAGTTAAACTTTTCTGTAATTATGCCAAGATCAGTGTCAGACAGCAGAGCTGTTCACCAGGATTTTAAACATTTATGTGTTTGTCTTCAGGCATCCAAAAGTAAAGCAATTAGTGCCAGTCAGGAATTGGAGTACACTGTAGCTTTCTTTGTTACATTTATCACAAATAAACTTTGTTGTGACTCTCTAAAACAATCAAATTTAAGTGAACAATAAAACTTTTTGATGCTTTCTCACTTTAAAATTTCCTTTTCCTGCTAGCATCTACTGAAAATTAGAGTGTTGCTTTGGTATTATCTTGTTCTGAAGTAGGTTATCTGGATTACAGTACATCTTAAATAGTTTTCTTTAATAATTCATATCAAGCACAGCCTTTTCTTTGGGGATAGGTGTACCTCTGTGAATCTGCTGGAGCTCAGACTGTGTTTGGCTCTGAGCGCCGTTATCACAAAGACAGTCCATGTATTAATTGGATCATATGTTGCTGCTAAAAGGGAGGTATTTGGGGCACCAGGTGAGGCAAGAGGCACACGCTGGATGGTGTGATGTGTCCCCAGGAGTGGTGTTGCCAGCTGAGATTTGCTAGCTTAGCTATGGAGCTGTGGCTTTGGGCAGTGGGAATTTGGGATGTTTCTGGCAGAAGTAGAAATAGTGATGGGATTCTGTTTCTCTGGGCAAACTGAAATCTGCCCTGCATGTTTTCATACTATTTCTTTGTTGTAAAAAAAAGCGTGAAATAAATAGGAACTGCTGGCAGGCTGTCTGTTTGCTCCTTCTTCCATAGCAGTCCTGTGCTGCTTTCTGTTTGGCTTTGAGTGTGTGATCTGAAAGCATTGCTGTGATGGTCGCACCGTTTGCTTTGGGAGCGATGAAGGTTTGTTGTGTTGGGTGGCTCAGTACGTGTGCCGTGGGTTTTTGGGTGAACCTGAACTCACTCAGGATTCCACTTCTGATGCTCTTATGTGGAACTGTGCACTTGGTTTCATAATTGCACATAAATGTTGTGGAGTTAATCCTGTTCCTTCAGCAAGATATTTCCAATTGAAAGTGAAGATAACAATGAGGAATTCCTGAAATCAAGGTGTGGTTTTTTTTTTCTCTCCTGGATTTCAGTTGTTCTGCCACTTCCTCCACCATCTCCATGCAGATCCCAGAAATGCTTTCCATACTTGTTTTCACAGTTTTGCATTTTAAGGAATGCTTCAGGTGAAGAGCAGAAAAGTTCTTGCTGACATGGAAGCAACTGTAACTGATGGAAGGTTCGGATGCTTCAGTGTGTTGGGGCTGGTGGTTAATGCACCATGTGCCTGGGGCACCTCCTTAAGGCAGTAAGGTAAAAAGCAGCTTCCCATGAAATGGTATTGGAGTTACCTCTGTGTTAGGATTTTTCTTTTTCCAAATACAATCTCAGTAGACCTGGAGCTATTATGACCAAACTTTGTCTGTGACTTGCATTGTAGTTGACAGGGTTAGAAGAGTTAAGCAGTTGGTTCTTTATTCTGGTCTTGTTGCTTTTTGTTGACACACGGTTTTCCAGACAGCAGTTGGAGCATCCTCTGAACTGGGAGACAGCAGATTATTGCAAGTAAAATTGTTTCAGCAAGAAAAGGTTCAAAAATGTCATTCACTGACTTGGAGTAGTTAAACACTGACTAGATTAAAACTTAATTTATTGTAAGGAACGATGAAAGCATCAAAATGACATTGAGCACAAAATTGTGGTCATCTCTAACTTTTTTTTTTTGTCACTGTTATTTGAGAAAGCGTTTATGTATGAAGCATTTATTGAAAGTAGACTATTTCAAAAAGATTTTTAAACTGACTTGTTTAATCCTGCATTTGATCAAGCACAATACAGTGGTAAAATCCTGAATGGAATGGAGTGAAGTTTTCTTTCTGCATTAAGACTCTTTTCTTTCATCTCCCTCTCAGGTGGCGAGGCTGGCTGCTGCTTCTTCCTCCCTACCATTTGTGTGTGCAGTGTATGCAGCAGCAGAAAAGGAATCAAAAAGTCAGCTGGTGAAGCCAAACCAGGTGTGGTTCTTACTGCTCATCAGTATTTAAAAGAATGCTAGAAATGTCTACAGATATGATTCCTTTCTTTTGATTATCATTAACTTGTAAATAAAAGACATAACTAAGTATTATGTGATCATACAAAGTATCTCCTGAGTAATTGACAACTACAGCACAAATAGAAAGAATGAGTGTAAATGAGTGAAATTTTACCTTGTTTTCATTATTCTATTCTTTCTGTAGTTAAGCCAAGTAAGATAGGAGTATAATACTTCCTGATAAGAAGTTTTAGCTACTGTACAGTTTCTATCAACAAATCTTCCAACTTGTCTGTCTTACACTTTTCATTAATAAAATACAATTTTATCATGCTCAGTAGTTCTACTTCTCTAAACATGTACAATACTTTCTGTTTTCATTTGTGAAGAGTTGACCTGTAGTCACAGTTGCATAATTAAGTTTCTAAATGTAAAAACCCACGATTTGATGCACAGACTTTCTTTGCGTAATGGGAAAGCTAAAGATCTGTGGGCTTGAGAAAAGCTGCTCAGTGTCAGTAAATGCAGGTCACTTTACAGAATGGTCTCCCTGCAGTATGGTTATACTTGTGATTCCAGCTTCCAATTTACTGCTCACCACCTCTGAAGTCAAAGTACATTGAAGAACAGCCTGGTCACTTGCAGAAGCAATTCTCTTCAATAAGGCAGACAACTGGCCGCTATATTGGATGGTGTAAGGTAAGAAATAGCTGCCCCTGAGGTTTCCTACAATTCCTAATAGCTCCTCCTTGACTAAAAGGTTAAAAAATATTCTACTTAACCCTGGTTTGTTTGTTTGGTTTTTTTGGCAACTTCTTGTGTTATTACAGACCTGTAGTTTGAAATGCAAAAATGAACCGTTGTCTTGTTTTTCTGTACTGTTCTTCTAACAGGGAGCTTGTGTTCTCCCTGTTTTCCAATGCAGGTGTCAGAAAGATGAAATAGGTCCCTTTCAGTCAGTATGAAAGTGAGTCAAGGCCAACCCACACTGTCAGCTACAGAAATATTTTTTGCTTAATTTCTGTGGTAAGAGTTATGTAAGTAACTTCCTGCCATCATAACTGTTACATCTGGGAGTCTGAAATTCCAGGTACAGCCCTGGAAAGGGAGTGCTGCTTTCAAAGGACCAGCAACAGGTCCTTTGGGGAAGGTAAACTAAGTGCATCCAATCAAACTGTTAAAGCAGCCTTTTAACAACTGTCCACCAACAGTGTTTTGCAAATCTGTTATCGAATATTCTAAGCATAGAAGAAAATGTGATACCTGTCAGCATTCTCTTACACGTTAGTCAATGGCAGCTTCTTATGCTGCTATGTGTGACACTTTCTGCTTGTGCTTTTTTCTTAGAGATACAACAGATCTGTGAAAGTATGGCCAGTATCAATAGAATCAGAATTGATAGAAAGTATACATCTTGATTTGTCTTTTTCAACTCCTCTGTTGTATCTCTAAGAAAAAAGTACAAGCAGAGACTACATAACTGAAACAATTTAGTTGTAAATCTGTATCTAACAGTCAAGGAGGGGGAGGTTGACCAGCAGTGACCTCTGGTGGCACAAAGTCACTGTTACTGCAGGCTTTGTTTCTGTGAGGAAACTGAAGATAATATTCTGTTAATCTCCTAAAGAAGGTGAACTTGCTTGATTTGTGCAGCAGCCTGAGGACAGAGGTGCTAATAAAAGGATTAAAAAACAACTTTCTAATAAGGCAAGTTGGCCAATTTGAAAGGAATCATGCGAAAGAGAGGTTGTGGATGCCCCATCCCTGGAGGTGTTCAAGGCCAGATTAGATGGGGCTCTGGGCAGCCTGACCTAGTATTAAATGGGGAGGGTGGTGGCCCTGCATGCGGCAGGGGGGTTGGAGATTCATGATCCTTGAAGTCCCTTCCAACCTGGGCCATTCTGTGATTCTGTGAAAAGAATTGAGCACACATCTTAATACTGATGAGTATTGCTTATCTTCAGCAGAACTGAGTACTGTTTGCAATCTAAATGACAAAGTTGGTTTTGCTGGGCAAAATTTTCTGGGGAAGTGGCAATGATATTTTCAATGAATCTTTCTTATGTTGCACAGTTGAGATCCAGATCTTCTGCTGCCCTATAGTTTTGATCCCAAAATGTTAATTTTGAAAAAATTCTCATTAAATTTAAATAATATAAATGTGATAAGCAAAAAGGAAGTAATCTCAGCACAGCCTTTGTGGAAGTTTACTAATCTGGTGGGGCTTTCTTTTAAAATTCAGTAATATTTGTCTTATTGTGTTGAGCCATACATATCAGCTGGCTAGTTGTTCCTACAAACATTTACTTTTGCAAAGTACTTAAATTTATTTTATTTTTGTAGGATGCTTTTTTCTTTGCTAAAAATGGAATAGTGGATTCAATTCAGTTTGGTAAAGGTAAGTAACTTGTGTATTTCTGAATTGAATGTTTTCTGTTCTTTCTCCTTGCAAGTTCAAGAACTGCAGCAAATGGTACTTAAACAAACAGAAAAATGGAGGGAGGGGACAAAAGGGGACTGCAGTACCTTCCAGAAGTGTGGGGGAAAAGATGACTGGGGCCACTTTTAATTCACTGTGTCACTGTGAAATTCCACTTCTGTCCTTAAGGGAGAGACTTGACTGTTTGAGTAGCATTTCTCACTCCTTTGATTTTACCTTTCTGTGTTTTGTAACCTTATGATAAATACTGTTAGGGCAGATTCAGGATTTTGTATGGAGTGTCAAAATGTTAGATTTCACTGTGATGAGGGAAGGTGCAGGGAACATTTCTTACACTCCCGTTACTTTGCATTAATTCTGCAGAATGTTTGTTAAAATTTGAGGAAGGCAGTGACTCTTGAATTGGTAGCTCATAGGCAGTGCTGACTCATGTGTAAACGTTTGAGCTTAGAGCAAATGCCTTCTGAGTCTTCAGAGCACTTTTAATTTACTATTCATTTTTTCAGAATCATAGAATTACAAAATTGTTGAAGCTGGAACCTCTGTAGATTCTCTGTGGAACCCTCAGTGCAGGGCCTTTGTAGATCACTCAGTCCAATGCCCTGATAAAACCGGGCCAGAGCAAGGCCTTGAACAACACTAAGGATGAAAATTCCACAACTCCTCTTCATTGCAAAAAAGCTTATTCTTGCACGAGTTACAAGTAGTGTTTGCATGGTTAGTGTTCAGTGTCAGAAATTTTCTACAGAAACATTGTATTGGGAAATTAAAAAATATGTATTTAATCTATGTTAACTAACAGTACTGTCAAAACTGAAACCTATGCTCTCCTTTTTGATTGTTGATAAAACATAAAAATGGGTCTAGGAAGAAAAGTCACTGACTTTATTGCTATGCTGTGAGGACTGGGATTCTCTTCCCAGTTAACACAGATGTTAGTGTGCACCTGGAAAACAAAAAAAATCTTCTTCATTAACAAAAATTCCGTCCTTATAGTGTTTTCAGTTTTGGATACTTACAGTTTTACTTTCATTATTATTTCCTAAGTGAGAAACAAAGATAGACATTAATGTTCACTTGCTTTGCTTCTTTGACATTTCGTCTTTTTTAATTCTAAGATGCTTATGTTTACCTGAAGAATCCACCACCAGAATTTCTTCCCAGAGTCGGCATAATTACAATATCAGGCCTAGCTGGTGCAGTGCTGGCAAGAAAAGGTAGGGCTTCTATGCTGATTTTCATTGTTGCTGTATTGTGTATGTTGCATGTAGTATCTTAATGGTACAAAGATTTTTCTGAAGTAGAGAAAATAACCAACTAGTAGTCAAAGAAAATCCTTCCTGATAAATTGAAAGGGCGTTATTAAATATTTATTTTAGATGTTGGCAAAAGCAATAGTGGAGAATGAAGTAGCCGTTGAGATTTGGCTAACGAGTACAGGGGAATGTATATCAGAAGGTGTGATTTGGGCAACTTTGGAGTCAGAAAGGTAGTTGTAGAGATACAGTCTCCTTTCTTTTCAAGATAAAGATTAAAAGAATAATCCTTAACCTGTTAGAAAGCACTGTTCAGAAAATGTTTATGTATAGCACCTGAGTGCACCTGTTTTCTAAATATTTTGTAAACCAAATGGATTCATCAAAATTCTGACAAATTGGTAGATTTCTTACTGTATCCCTGTTACTTATAGACATTTAAAAACTTTTTTTTTTACTATTAGAAATAAATTGGGCTTGAGAATCTGTTAGCTTCTTGTCAGCAAAGGGGAACTTCAGCCATTCTCGTGTTTGAGGAAAGAGGCCAAGTTTTCATACCCCTGGCTGCTTCACATTCTGTACTCTGTCTGTGAGAGAGCATGCGTGCAGCTTCTGAAAAGCCCCAGCAGCTCCTAACTGACATTCCTCTTTTTTTTTTATTTATTTATTTTTTTTTTTTACAATTATGGCAAATCTGCTTTGGGATTCTTTCTTGTTTGGGAAACTCAACTTTTGTGAGGCCCCATCTGGAGTTCTGTGTCCAAGTGTGGAGCCCCCAGTACAAAAAAAGACAGGGAGCTGTTGGAGAGGGTCCAGAGGAGGGCCATGAAGATGGTCAGGGGACTGGAGCACCTTCCCTATGAGGAGAGGCTGAGGGAGCTGGGCTTGTTCAGCCTGGAGAAAAGAAGACTGTGGGGTGACCTCATTGCAGCCTTTCAGTACCTAAAGGGAGCCTACAAACAGGAGGGGAATCAACTCTTTGAAAGGGTTGATAACTGCAGGACAAGGGGAAACAGTTTTAAGTTGAAGGAGGGGAGATTTAGGTTGGATGTCAGGGGGAAGTTCTATACAGAGAGTGGTGAGGTACTGGAACAGGCTGCCCAGAGAGGCTGTGGATGCCCCGTCTCTGGAGGTGTTCAAGGCCAGATTGGATGGGGCCCTGGGCAGCCTGGTCTAGCATTAGGTGGGAAGGTTGGTGGCCCTGCGTGTGGCAGGGGGGTTGGAAATTCATGATCCTTGAGCTCCCTTCCAACCCTGGCCGTTCTGTGAACTTGGAGAATTTAAGTATCTCTTGCTAACCTGGCCATTTACTGAATTGTAATAACATTCTGTATTCTCTGCTTCAGCCCTGGTGGGTATAAACTGGATGCAAACAATTGTTAGAGGTTAAATGATTGTGTTTAATTAATACAACCACTTAGACACTAATGTAACATAAAGCTAATTATATGAAATATTTGGCTTTGTACAGATTCTAGATTTAAGAAAATTGCTTATCCCTTGGGACTTACTACTTTAGGAATTTCAGTTTGTTACCCAGCTCAGGCAGTAGTAATTGCTAAGGTAAGTTTACTTGTTTTAATATTGAATTACGAGTGAATTTAGACACAGCATTCCTGTTTCATTTGATTTAAGTGTCGTGGGACTGGGAGTTGGAATTCAAATGCATCTTCATTAAAACACAGTGTATCACTACTGCTAATTACATAACTATCAGAAGTGACTGAATACGAAAATGCAGTTGTATAGCTTCTCAGTTTTAGTCCTCATTTCTCAGATGAATGAACATGTTTTTGTCTCGCTGAAATAAAATTAAATAAAAAATAAATACAAAGTTGCTGAAATTGGCAGATATGCAATTTGAGATACAACTGCACCTGTTATAAGATGTTGTCTACCTGAGTAATGTCTTCGTAGTTTACATAGAAAAGCAGCACTGTACTTCATATTTTGCATGCAAGAATTGTTTGCTTACAGTACTTTTCTATACAAAGACTGAATTGAAAACATCACCGCGTCTCTTCCTTCTCTATAGTTTCCATAGAATTCATCTTGGTTCCTTGACAGTCTTTTTGTTTGTAGATTAAAAACTGCTTCTATGTGAAATGAATGAGGTAGGAAAATGTAGTTCTGGTAGTTGCATTTTGGTCTTGTAATTAATCTGAATCTCTGATTTTTTCCGTTGTGATGAATCAATTGTTATATCTACTTATTTTAATGAGATGTTTGCTCTTACACGCTTCTGGAGTATTTAGGAAGACACATCACAGACTTAATTCTGTACTTAAATTCTTTCAGCCTTTTATGACTAAGCTGAGCAGAAGTATTTGTTTTCATATATACAAGTTGTTGAGGATTACAGTTTCTCAGGAGGCCATGGAGAACTTCTTTGGCTCATTAGAGTGGGACTTAAATGTCGGGGAAGAAACAGAAATGAATAGAAATTCTGCAGTGGAGTCTAGATCCTTGTTTCCTGTTTACTTGTGTCAACTTCTGCAGCTTTTCTGTAGTTGTAGCTATGAAATATTCTGTGTCTGCAGAGCACTCAAAGTTTCTCCATGGTTACTGCAGTGTTATAGAATTACTTTTCTAAAATCTGAAAGACTGAAGGATTCAGACCTGTAAAGCTCTGCTCACTTACATGGACTTACATGGACCACTTACATGGTCATCTTTTGGTGTTTTTTTTTTTTTCTTCCATCTTTTGTATTACTGTCTTTGATCATTTGCAGAATAGTGAGGCAGGCCTGGATTCTTTCATATTTGTTGTTCTGCTAACGTTTACGAAACACTGTTCTTTGAGTATGTTTTGATTTTGTTTTGGATAGATGGGTATGTATAGCATATGAAAGCTACCTGTGGATTTGTAAACATTATTTAGGACTTGCTTAATGAGAAATAAATCTATATTAGATTTTGAGAAGCAGATGGTTAAAGTATGTCCTATTCTGTATGAGCATGTTCTCAATGAATTGTGTTGCATTTGAATGGTCCATCTGTTGGTTTTTTTAAGCTATTTTAAAATTGTTTTTTTTTTTTAATAGGTAACAGGGAAAAAGGTAGTTTCTGCAAGCCATCAAACCTATGAGGCTGTACGGTCTCTATGGGCAAAGAAGGAAGATGCCTCCAAGGTAGGCTTTCTGAAGTAATGACTGCAGCTTGTAAATTCAGAGGGTGAAGAGAGTAAGTGAGAAGGTCAAGTACCATCCTGCTGATACTGTTTAAGATTACTAACTGTTTTAAGGGAAGTACAGAAAACTCTCTGGTATTTCTGTAATATAAATGTTTAATTAATATATTATTTATTACACCTTTCAGAGCAGTAGAAATTCAGATCCTCTGTTTGCTCCCACAGTGTGCGTAAGATGCACAAGAGAAGACTGAGCTCTTACAGCTCATTTTTGAGCTTAGCAAAAAAGAATCACTGTAGGTGTGACTAACTTGTGTTTAAACATATGATTGAAGAAAATTCCATAACCGTTTCAGGTAGTTTGTTTACATTACCCTATGATTTAAATAGTGTTTATCCCAGATTAAGCTGATTTTTTTTTTTCCAAGTTCTGTCCTTGGTGCACCCGTAGTGGAAAAAATGGTCATTAACCTCCTTATATTGATCTTTTATGTTTGAAAAGCTTATCCTGTTTATTGATGTTACCTTTTCCATAGAATAGCCATTTTTAGAAAACAAACTTTGTGACTCCTGTGTAATTTTTGTTTTCCTCAGTGCATTCTCTAGTTTTTTCCTTTCATTTCTGTTTTGGTCTTAATTAAGTCAAAACAGTACAGCATAGTACACAACCTAGGGCCCTGGCAGCACTAAGCTGAGAGGAATATTTACCTCCTGTAAATTATATATGGAATTCAGGTTAGTACATTCCAGAATTAGACTTCCCTTTTTCTGCAACTTGAAAAGTTTTTTTTCTATCCATGAAACACTTAGGACACTTGAAAACAAATAGTATTTGCCTAAATAAAGTTTCGGTTCTGCACAGTATTATTTTTGTTGGTTTTTGAAGAGAATGAAAATTTCTCAGTCATCTTAATGTTTAGGAGTATTTTGCTTCAAATTTAGGATGTTACTCTGTGCACTCCTCTGCAGAGTCAAATGGAATTCTGAGTTTTGAAATCGAAGTTTGGGTAAATGTCATTAAGCTGACAGAGATACAAGAATTGATGTGGTAAAGGCAGTTCCTGTTAGCTTAATTTTTTTTCCACTTGGTGAAGTCTGTAGCCAGAACAACATATTCCTTTCCATTAGTATGGAGACATCATGATTTATCTTTCTCTCTTCTGTTAGCTAAGAATACAATAGAATCATTAAGGTTGGAAAAGACATCTAAGATCATCTAGTCTAACAGTAGTAAGTAGTCTTAAGTGTAGTATTAATTGTTTTGTAAGATCTACATATTTTTTTCTATCTTTTTTTGTCTTTGTAAAGACTGTAGAGGACGATGACTTCTTTGTGAAGCAGTTGGAGGGTCTCAGGTTAAAACAACATCAGATTTAAATATACGCTCATGAAAAAATGAACTTGCTTAAAAGTGATCTGCAAGTTAGAGTATCATAGCTGTGGGGTTTTTTGTTGGAGTTTATCTTTTTTATAGGTGCATCCAGTGCATGCAATCAACTGACGTTACCAACTGAATGTCGTTGAATGGTGTCATTGCATTATGTCATAGTTGAGAGTAATTTTATAAAATACAAGCTTTAAGATAATCTTATTTTGCATTAATGTTTGTTCACAGCTGCAGCAAGAGTCAAAATCAGTTACAAAAGAAGAAAAGAAAAATAAAGAAATATCTAACACACAGTTTGAATCTGCTATTGAATCACGAACATCTAACAGAACAGAATCTTCTCCTATAGAGTCTTGGAATACTAAAGATCCACTGCCTTCATCAGGTGAATGAAAAATTCCAGATGTAATCTCAGGTCCAATATACAAATTTAATGCATATTCTGAATTACTTGGATAGAATTTGTACTTATTCTTGCTTTTAAATAGAACAGACTGTCATAGCATGTTATTCTGTATTCTGAATATATTGAAGACAGTATTGTTTAACGACTATAGGAATATTTTAATTTTCTCACTGTGTACCCTGTCACAGTTTCAAAATTATTATATATGTTTGATTTTCCATCAGTAATGTTTTCTTTCTCTCCATGTGGTGTGGATCATATTATTTCTCCAATAACTTTCTCTAATATTTCTTACAGGAACAGCGAAGACAACAAAGTTTAAACCTGACCCAAAACTTATGGACCATGGTCAGTCCAGTCCTGAAGACGTGGATATGTACAGTACAAGAAGCTAAGACATCTGCTTACAAATCTTTGCAAAGTATTACAGATAAGGGGGAGGGAAGAAGGGAAGGAATAAGCCTTGTGATTCATACTGTGTGAGGTATAACTTAATCAGGTATTTTCTTATATTCCAGACTGTATTACTGACTTATATGATGCTGTTCAATGAATATTTGTTTCTCACTACTTACAAACAGTGAGAATTCACTCTTATTCAGTGTCATTACTGTGACACTGAGAAAATGAGATTTGTGTGTGTCTTCTCACAGTGAAGTTTCTCTGTGCCAAACTTGTTAATAAATGTCATTTCACAAAAGATATTTGAAAAGGTGAACATCTCTATATTTCAGCTCAAATGTTCACTGATAGAAAAGAGGAATGTCATGGATAGGGTTAGAGAGGCTTCTTTGTTTTTCACTTGAAGCTCTAGAACAAAGAGCAACTCTTACTGGCCTGAGTGCCCTTAATTGATTACTTTATCATATGTATAGCATTATGTCTAATGCTTACATAAACAAATCACTTTTTCATTGCAGAGTCATTTTTTGTTGTTTGCCTCTTTCACAAATGTGAATGGAAACTGAACTTCTTGTGCATTCTTGTTTTGTATTTAAATGTCACTTATGTTGGGAAAGGACTGATCTTTAAAATATCCATCATAGACTATGCATTAGTTTTTACATACTTCTGGTAACTTGAAAAACTGTATGCAAATTGCTGAATCCATGAAGCTGATACTGTTTGATTTATATAGAGTGAATAAGCAATGTTTAGAAAAGAGCGTGAAGGTTTAAAGTAAGAAATGCATAGATGGTTGAAAGTGCTGATAAATATCTAAAAATGCCAAAGTAATAAACAGAACAAAAAGTGAGAATACCACTACCCAAACAGATAGTTGGATTTGCTGTCTTAAGGCTGAAAAGAAACACTGTTTCACATGTATGTATTTTCAGCAGTGGGATATGAAGGGATATTTGCCCCTGTTCTACATAAGAATAGATTTCACTGCCTGATTCCTTCTTATGAGGCTCCCACTTCAAAGTCAGATGATCTTAATACAGGCAGTCAGTACTCCTAGTGTCACTGTAGGGCTAACAGAACTAGTAAGGGGATATTGCACAATGGAGCATGATCAAAGCATAAATGTTGAATGAACAAGTGCACCAAGTACGGCTTTTGTGTTGGTTCAGGAACAGATGTATTGATATTCTGTAATCCAGATTTCAGGTGAAGAGTACGGCCTGGATGGAGTCCAATACAAAGTAAAGTCAGTAAATAAATGAGGTTTAAAGAAAAATAATTCTACTAATTGAACTTGTTTGGGATCCGTGAATTAGAATTTCATGTATTTTGTTTCTTTAATCACATAATAAGGCCCACGAAACTGCGAGAATTCAGGCAGAAATCAGAGGATATTAAGTCAGTCTTCACAGAGCTCCTGGACACAATTCATAAGTGTTCTGCTCCAGAGAGAACAGTAGAGAAGTTAGATGGTTGGGCTTCCTATGCCATTTTCAGGGAAATGTGAAGATGTAAAGCAGGAAGTGAAAGAAATTAAAGGAAGATCATTTTCAAGTGTTAGATGGGATGGTGGGAATTATCTGCCTCCATATCTGGTCTGTTAGTCAGCTTCTGGATTAAAAAATGAAGGCAAAACCATTTGCTCTGCACCTGGATTCTATTTAAATTCTAACTTAGGTCCTTTGAGTGAAGCATTGCTGCAAGTCAACAAGAAAGGTAAGATGATATAGGTTTGCATGGTTTACTGTGGTGACATTTTTCAGGATAAAGTATAAAGAAAGTATGTATTAATCTCCTGGGAACGGGGTGGGAAGATTCATTAGCGAGATGCCAAGGAACGAGCATGTGTGCCCTTTCCAGGCAAGAGCAGGCCTTAAAAGTCTGTCATCTACCAGAGTGCAAAAAGCTGCCCCAGTCCTTTAAATAATTTCAGGGCATTAATACTCCTCGAGATAGAGACAAGTCTGGAAAAGCTCTGCTGGAGTTCTTAATGATTAATCTGAGTCTTAGATGTTTCGTCTGGTTTGTGTTATAAGCCCCGACGACAGAAGAAATTCATGTTACAAAAGGACACGATGCACAAAGCTGTACCTGTGCTGTATTACAGTCTCTAATTACTCCTCAGGATAAAATTGTGATAGAACTGTGCTTCACAGTTAAATTGTTGTTCTGAAGCTTTGATGCATTTTCTGGGACATAGCTTAAAATTATTGCTTTAACTCACCTTAATGAATAAACAGTGTGAGAATACAGTTCTGGAATTCTTAAGAACAGTATTGCTGTGTTACTTCATCTTGGTGGAAGGGAGGAGCTAGGCAGTGAGTGTGCAAAGCATTTATTCCACCTCAGGATCTGCTCTGCTGCTGTCACTTTTTAGTTCAATTTCTTCATCGCTTGGGATTTCTCTGTTGTTGCACATTCTCCTCCATGTGAGACAGGGATTTTGTTTGTTTTCTGTCAAGAGTTTTTGTTTAGTATCCACACAGTCAAAGGCCTGCGTCTAAAATCAGAGGCATGGATTTCTGCACTGAGACAGATCCAGCCTAAGGATCTCAAGGAAAAGAAAACAGGGCAAAAAATATATATAAAGCTTTGCATCCTTGCTGGATGCAATTTCTGCTTTCAGGAAGACTACAGCCAGTCTCTCAAGAAGTTTCTGTATCCTGGAGGATAGATGTTAATAGCATAATAGTTCTTTACTCACATGAACTTCTGATGGAGTCAGTCTTGTCCACCCATACCAGAAGCTTGAGAGGTTAAAAAAAAAAAAAATTCAAAAAAATTTGGAATATATTTGCTAGCAGAAAGGCAACCCATATCAGATTACTAGTCTGGTTTTGTAAAAATGTTGAAATGAAATGGTGACTGAGTCTTCATTACTCAGATTGTATTCTCAGAAGTGTTCCCTGTTCAGATCTAAAATGATGATGACCCTCTTCAGTTGAGAGATCTGAAGCTCCACATTTTATACGGCTTGTTCCAAATTAAGTAGAAGGAATTTTAGACATGTCTCTTTATGGCAAAGGACCTGTACAGTGGCTTTAAAAATGTAACTTCATGTGTACCTTATGACACGCTTGTGAGTCCTATTTTTTAAGTCTGTACACCTTACAGTCTTGGTAATGCGTTCAGTATGCAAACCTGCTGAGTAATGAGAAATCAATCTAGGCACACCTGGTAGGTTGTATTGCAAGACATGGTTTGGTTAAATTTTAGTGGAAAGCTTTTTCATATTTCAGATGCATTCCATGGTCACATAAACATACAGCTTATCTTAAAAGTCCAGTCGACTTCATATAGTGCCACAACAGAAGTAAGAAAGTAGACTGTAATTTTTTATGATGTATGTTTTGTATTTTTGAAAAATCCAATGTCTTTTAAAGAACTGGATCACATGGCAATATTTTATAATATACACATTTTTAAATTACTGCATGGTTTTTTATTTATAATTGATTGTATTGCTTATATAGAGATTTGGCATTTGTTGATGCTATTATTTTTATTTACCTGAAACATTGTGATGCTTTATTTTGTGATGATATTGTGAAACAGCTGAAAATAAAGGGTGATAAGATGCTTTTCAACATTAACTCCCATATATTTCCTCAACTGTAGGGCCAATTGACAGTTGCTTTTCTTTAAAGTACATCTTAATTGGTAAACATGACTAGGTCACACATGTTTCACTAATGTCAGGGAGGAGAAAAAAGCTCTCTCTTGTGAAGTGCTGGAACAGCATTCCTGGTAGAAAGTCATCAGTACATATCCATATACAGTGCAAACATGCAATGCATGTTAAAACTCAGTTTTCAGTTGTTTATATGTATTGAATAATGAAAAGTGCTTCCATCTTCTTTTCTTGGATAATTTCAAGAATGCTGAAGCTCAGGACTGAGGAAAAAAGGCTTTTACCCACATTGGAGGAATGGCACGTTCTATTTAAAGACTGGGACGTAGAAAATATATTTACTTCTGTATGACTCCATGATAATCTTCCAGGTAAAGTAATTTCTCAATCCATATGTCAATAAATAATGTTATGTATTGTGTGAACTACAGTATGACTGTCTGAGCAAAAAATGTGTGAACAAGGAATTTTAAATGTGATGTTGTCATTATGATTCTTGAATAAGTTGGTAGACATTGTAAAGATTGTTTTAATACATCAGTATAGCTGTCTTGCAGTGACAATTGTGAGTATTCCTCAGTGTCATTAAAATACTAAAATATGTATTTTAAACTAAAAAAATGTGGTATTACAGCACTTACTCTTCTGGAAAGGAGAAGTAATACGCACTAGATTATGTAAAATTTTTATTTTAAATTGCAGGGTTTTGGTGAAGAAAAGCTTAAGTAAGTTGCTTGTAGTAAGCTGTAGTCAAGAAAATAGAGTAATTATAACTGTTTGAGAAGTATCATATTTATTATTTGTATAACCCCAGTACTGATGAGTTCTTCCAATAGACCAGAGCAAATGTACAAACCAGTCTGAAGTGCTAAGCAGAAGGAGATCTAAAAACTAACAAATCCTGAAACAACTAAAAGAAATTCTAGGTGTTTCCCTTGCTGTGATCAGATAATAGGTCTGAACTGAGGCTACTGTGTTCCTAACTGCTGCTAACTATCATAAGCCTCATTTGTAGCAATCATAATAACAATATCTGAGAAGCTTTCTGTGCCTTCTTTGGAACCTTTGCAATTCAGTGGTAGTAGAGTGTGTGTTATCCAAAGCTGTGTTGAAGCTGGCCTGGAATTGAGATTACAGCAATTTGGAGTTGACCTGCTTTGACCTGTAATTTTAGTCAGTATCTTTCACGGAGTCACAGAGTTGTAGAAGTTGGAAGACATTGGATGTAATGCCTCTGCTAAAGCAGGTTCCCTACAGCAGGTTACCGAGGTTGGTGTACAGATAAGGAGACTGCACAGCCTTGTAGAACTAGTCTAGATGTCATTGATATGTAGATTGTAGCTGTAAAATACATAATTTGATTTTTCAGTGTTCCAGAAAGTTGGGCAGTATGAGAAAAAAATTAGTATACTGTGAAATGAAAAGTTTAAAGCAGTTTTGGTCTATGTGGCAGAAACTTAATCCATTGTTCAGTCCTTAGGTAAGTAGGCACTAAAAAGAAAAACCTACTGATGGCCCCTCTGACCCTTCTGTGAAGACTTGTCCAAACCTGTTGCATTCAGTAGAATCCCACTGTGCAATAGATAGCCAGTGGTCTGGTTTTTTTTTGGTAGAGCACATTGTTAGAACAATTCATCTAAGTAAAGTCTGCTAATTAAAGCTTTCCTGAATCTTTTGTTTTAATCAAACTTAAAAGCCATAGATAGAAATGTTTGTTTATCCCACAACATGAAGTATCTGTATTTAATGCTTAGTATTCAGTAGTTGTGAACGGGAGCCAGAGGAAAAATTTCATGTCATTTAGAACAACAAAGCATGTATACAAACAGGTGCTTCTGCCTCTTTGTTACATCTGAAGAAAGACTACACGTTTCCTACAGGGTATGTGTTATTTTCTTGGATGAGGAAGACTGAATGTTGTGAAACATTCTTCTGGCAGAGCTTAAGGTCTGACTTTCAGTCAAAGCAGTATTGTTTGAAGGATGTACAATATACCAGGCATTGATTTTTACAGATAATCATTTATCCTTTGAAAAATGAAGGTTAATTTTTACCTGTCATTGGTAATTTAACTATGCTTGGCGTGTCTTTGTAAGCAGCAGTTCCTGATTAAAAATAAAAATAAAAATCTGTGCTGGTGTTTTATGAGTTATGAAGAAATTTGAAGAGCATCATCCTTAAAACTAATGTTTGAACTTAAGCTACAAACCACCTAATCTTTCACAAATGTTGTGTGTATCTCCATTTATTGTGTGTTCTTCAGGATGACAAGGCATTCACTCAGAGACTGCTGCAGATCGAGGATATTATTGTGTAGTGAATTATTTTCAGGAAATGTTTAACACTAAGGAAGGACAAAATTGTCCTGTGCTCTGTGTGTGTTTTGACCTACTGTGTAAACTGCATGAGCATTATTGTGTAAACTGAGTAGAATATGACAAAGTGATCCTTTACATTAACATTGTATTAAGGTACTGGACAGACTGTCTAATTTTGAAGTTGAACTACTCAAAAACATACTTTTAAGTTGTGCTTTTGAGGAGAAATGCCCTTCTAAATGCTCTATGGTTGGTCAGCAGGAAAGATTCTAGTAAGTCACTAAAAAGTGGTTAAGGGAAGGCAATATCATGGGAGAAGATGCCACGTTCCTGTTGAAGTTGTTGCTGATGAGGTAGAATTTTAGAACAGTCCTGAATTGTTGCTGGACAAATCTGGAAGCAGCTTGTGGTGCATGTGTCAAAGCCAGGCTTGAAAGAAAACAGTCCCAGAAGAGAGTCAGAAACATGAGACTGAAGAGGTCCTGAGAAAACCAAAAGTAAACGTTCATGTAAAATAAGTAAGTTTTCTTGACATACTAGCTTCACTAAAGTCACAACAAAATACTAGCGGAAATTCCTATCAAAGAACACCTTAGAATAGTTTGTTCATGCAATAGAGTGGCAGAGGAACAAACAGCATCAACATTCATTGAGGTGAAATTAATAATTGTAACTTCAGCTTCTGATTCAGGAGAGTACCTAGTCACTTCTAGAAACTGAGGTATTTCTTTGTCCTAGTAATGAACAATGTTCTGACTTGGTTCTTGCCAGAATGTATTTACAGGACTCCTTGACACAAACTTCTGCCCAGCTATGACTTAGGCGTTAACTTTTCAAAAAGACCAATAACGCACAGCCACTGAAGCAGGTTTATGGATATTATCTACTTGCTTTTTTAATAATCTATGGAAAGAAGTTCATGCTATGAAGTTGTTTTTAAGTTCCAAATGTAGTGAATTGAACTGTTGTGCTTGGAACTCAAACCTGGTGCAGTTATTCATGGAGAGCAGGCATGATTTTACCTTTACATTTTACCAGACAAAAATATCAAAATAAATCTGCAATTTGGACTGAAATAGAACTGTAATTCCACATCTGCAAAAAGAAGAGATGCAAAGACAGTAGAAAATGCAAAAAGTCTTGTTTAGTAAGTTCAGAAATGTTTATTTCCTTTTAGAATCTGACTGGGAAATTCATAATTATTATGGCGATAATGAGGAAGTATATGTATGCTATTTCATGTCCAACTATGGGAAAAGTTTTGAAAAAATCATAACATTAGAAGTTCAGAAATCATGAAAAATTCAAGAAGATTGCAACCGTGTGTTGTAATTAAGCTGGTTATGGATTGAAGAAAGCAGTGTCAGTAGGCTGAAGCAGTGTCTAGCAATCAGAGAAGGCATAATTGCAGCCAGATTTCATTTGTTTTTAAAGCACAAACATCTTAAGACCAATATCAAATACAGATAACAAACTTCTAGTATTTAGGTTACGGTCTTTTAATGTGTTTTTAAAACACTGTATATTCCAGGAACTCTGTATTAAAATACATTCAGAGTTGCTATCTTTAAAAGGTACACCTAAAAGGAGAACAGATAAATGCTTGTGACAGATACCTTGGCATGTTGAAAGTCATGTTGTTAAAGGAATTCTTTTCATACGTATTCAGAAATTGAAAGGGTAATGAACGTTTTATGGAACTACTTGCTTACCGTAAAATGAATTACGGTGGAGCGCTTACCAGGAAGTTGTATCTGATGCAAGTTAATTAGTAATTTTTTTCTAGAGAATGATGCTATAAAGCAAGCTCAAAATCCATGATCTTTGACTTGCTGTGGTCAACAGCAGTAACAGAACCTTCATTCTGCTGCTAGCAACATCTGGGACAAGACGTCTA